AGTGGGCCCCCTAGTGAAACAAGGTCAAAAGTTGCGGCCTAAAAATTTGTAACGATCAAAAATTTCATTTAAATAAGGGAAACAATTGGAAACAAACAGGGGCATAACAAGAATGTGACATGAATTCGTGATATTAAAGGATAATTGGTTTTTGTCTCTTTCATCATATTCCCTTCCAAGAAAATACATATGCAATTACTATCTTCCCCATTTTAATATCTCTGATAATAAGTGTTGGCGTCCAACCTAAATTTTATTAGAAAAAGAATCATGGAATCCAGGACAATACAATGTAGTAAGACACATGACAGCCACAATGTCAGTACTTATTTTGCCACCAACACAAGCTGACAATGATTATCTAGTGTCCGGTCATCATTAGCTGATACCATAGATGACGTAGACATCATGATGATCTGCTTGACCGACATCATCAATCAATCATGAATTCAAAATTTCAAGCAGTGACACACATTTCTATGTTGATGTTGTAGCTAAAAAGACACTAGACGAGCAAGTGGCTTGAATTTTTCTCCTATAAATAAGTTCAAGTGGTTTCCCCCTCCCTCAAGGCAGAGCTAGGACACCTTTCAAAAATACTCCTAAACAGCTTTTCTCAAAACAATTACTCTACATTTTGTATTAATTTCAGCAATTATCAGTATACATTTCCTTTTAAGTTGGTCTAATTTTGTCACTTCATTTTTAATCATCAACAATAAGGAAAAACAAATCAAGATTTGTTGGATTCATAATTTCCTCCACTTGTTTTTCGATCGCAGCCATTATTCTACATATCAAAATTAGGTCACAGCCAACACATTGCAGGTCATATATTCATTCATATGTGAAATTGTGACATGGGAATTTGTGGCTTGATAACACGTGTGACGTAAAAACAAAATACACCAAGTGTAACCTTTGTAATTTAAGTGTTGTGTGACCTCCCTCAATAAATGTTATGAAGAAAAATAATAAGTCTTTCTCTCTCTCCAAATACTCTAAATATAGCATCGCAATTAACGAGATTGGAGACAAAATGAAAATATATCCAAAAAATGTACATAAAATATTTTTAAAAACAAAGATACATGTTTTGTCACAAAAAACGAAGAAGATAATTATACAACAAATTTCGTGTGTTAAATATAGATATTGTTACAAATTTTATTTTTAAGAATGGCAAGATCCTCTAATTAATGATCTAAGTATTTGAAGGCGATAAGTCACGTGACTTGAATCTTGAATTTCGAGATTTGTTGAAAATTTTGCTTGTTTGACACTTGGATTTCGGGGGCTTGAATTTGCACTTCGGGACTTGGATTTGAAAACGA